TGAGCTGTAACACCGCTGTCCAAGGTAAGGGGAGGCTTGAGCGCTCGAAAACAGGGTTAACACAGCCGCATTCTGTATGTGCCTGTCCCAAGTCAGGAGCCTGTAATTCGGTTGTTGTTGTTGGTTCATATCTGTCATATTTGTTTTTCGTCAATTGTTTTGTTATAAATTAAACCGTTAGTTTACTCAACTGAATTGTTTTTGGCATCGTAAACTACAAAAAAATGGTCAAATATCGTTTCATCTCGGTTTTTATAGTAAATGTTCTAAAACTAAACTAATATACTACATGTAGTTCAATGAAGATAATTGAAAACTAAACATATCATTTTTTTTGTAATGAAGTACATGAAAATAAAGGAATTCCTGCTTTTGACGGTTGACAGTTATGAATTGTCACTACACTTCCGCAAAATCTAATTAAGTTGAAATTTGGCTAGCTTTCAGTAACTATAAATAGACTTATATTTGTACCTTGTGCTTGTTGTCTTTTTGGTCAGTGTATTTGTGTGTGCTTGGTTCCGATCTGATGAGTCAGGTATTTTTACAATTGACTTTATAGCTTGTATTTATATATATTAATTTTCGGGTATAAAGTCAACTTTCTCTCGGAAAGTATAAAAGCTACAGATATATATTTTTGTTTAGATATTCATCTTGTTCATAAGCAAACTAGTTTGTCGTTCTATAGTTGCGTGAAGGAATTTATAATAAAGCCGTGGGATGGTACATACAAATTTTATATGTATTTCAGTTACAAGTGAAAAACATAGCTAAAATTGTCAAAGTATTGTTTAAAGATTCTTACCAAAATATGAAAATTAAAACATATTTATCACAATTTTGTATGTACTGATTAGGTAAATGTTCTATTATCTTTTATCATATTGCCCTAGGTACAGCTAAACACAATTGGTAATTTAAAAAAAAAAACAGACCTTTGTTGGTCTCCTACTTGTCAATTCAAAGGTTATTATAATCACATTATTAACAAAGGATTATAATTCAGTGTTAAAGAAAAGTATAACTTAAATAAAACGGTCATTATCAAATATACATCTTTTAATTTGGAATATATGTAGAATACTTTTTACTTAGGCTAATGAGGAAATTCAATACTGCAACAGTTTATTTTTTTGAAGAAGTAAATAAATCAATTAAGTCTTAACTAATACTAGCATGAATTATTAACAATATAGACCTATGTTCAATAAAATTGTTATTCCTCGAGAGAAAAAAAATTATCAAAAATGAAACGGACTTCAATATTTTCCCTTCCTTTTGATCTACAAAAAAAAGAGAATGTTAAGCCTTTCAATTCAAATCTCAATTATATCAGAAATGTAGATGTTTGAATCCAATAAATTTGTTATAAATATTATTCTTATTTCTTTTGGATTATTAAAAAAAAAATCAAACTCAGGTTCTTAATTGTCCTCATTAACCTCAGATAAATCTAATAAATCAAACATGTTATAATAATAATCTTTATTTTAAGATGTGTCAAAAAGTTTGAAGTTTTCTTTGTATGTCAAGATATAACAGTTGTACAACTTCAAAATGTTCATTTAAGACCAAACACACAATTTGAAAATTTGTTTCATTGTAATCAGAATGTAATCAAAAAGTAATAAGTAATATGAGAATTAAGACATATTTATCACAATTTTGTTTGTGCTGCATAGGTAAATGTTCTATTATCTTTTATCATATTGCTGATTAATGATTACAATTACAATTACCCCCAAGTCTGGGGATGTATCCATTAGCGTACTTGATACCTTTAGATCAGAGGCTATATAGATGTCGCAGTATATTCTTGATCATGCAAATAAAGGTATGTCGGATGACTATGAAAAGATTTACTCATTCAGTGAAAGGACATTATGTATATACCGGAACGTAAAAGAAGGGCAAAAAATACCAAAGGAAAATTCAAAGTCAAGTCGAAAACAAACTAACAATGCCATGAAAAAAAAATTGCTTCGCCGAACGCAGCTGGATACGACCGCAGAGGTCCAACCCTAAACAGTTGAGGCAAAAATGGACACAATATTCGCGCTTGATGTAGGTCTGAATTTGGATTGTAATTAAATATTTGACACATAATAGGTTTCTGACACAGAATAACTTGTAGTCAAAGAACTTAGAATTGGTTATGTGATTTGAATTTATATTCAATTATTTTGCTTTTGTGCAATACAGTTGCAATTTGACCCCCCCCCCCCAAAAAAAAACAATTTACCCCCCTGTTTTTTTGGCTTTTGTGCAATACACTAAGCTGTTGCGAATTGCCCCTCCCCCCAAAAAAAAATATTTGAAGAAATTTTCTTTCTGAAATCTGAAATTAGAAAAAATTGTCCCCCCACCTCACAATTTCTTTTTTACCCTCCCCCTAAATTTTTTTCACCTCCCCCCTCCCCTTTTTCCAAAAAAAAATGCTTTTCCTCAAGATATGGTCAATATGGTCATAATCTCAATTCAAATTTCCAATAGATTTTGCAACCAAAATTACCAATTTAAATACATCATAAAAGTCTTAAAATAGAAAATGGCATAAATAATCATGGCTAAAATTAATAATCCTTAATAAGCATTTTTAAATAGTAACTTCTAAAATTAATTTGACAGCTAATCACCTCAAGACAATGCAACATTTCCTTATACATAATTTAAAAGCAGTGTAAGGGAGGTAATCCAAACATAACATTGTACTTTTTTTTAATTGTTCAGTAACCAGGAAACCCTTGTTTTTCCCCTTTTGTTGCCCCTAATTTCTATAAGGTTTGAGCTATAACCCCCCCAAAGCAAATCCTAATCATCCCTTTGTGGTATAATTTCAACGAGATCCATACACCGTTCCACAAGTTATTGTCTGGAAACTAGAAAAATGCTTATTTGTGCCCCTTTTATGGCCCCTAATTCCTAAACTGTTAGGACTATAACCCCCAAAATTAACCCAAACCTTCCTTTCGTGGTTATAAACCTTGTGTTTAAATTTATTAAAGTTATTGTCCGGAAACCAAATGTCTTCAGACGACGCTGACGACGAGAACGACGACGTGATACCAATATACGACCGCAACAAATTTTGCGGTCGTATATTGGTATCACGTTGTCGTTAGATTTAATCGTATAAAAACGAAAAAGACCAAACGACAAACAACAGCACACGAAACACAACATAGAATACTAAAGACTTAACAACGCGAACCTCATCAAAAACTGGAGGTGGTCTCAGATGTTCCGGAAGGGTTAGTAGATCCTGCTCCACATGTAAAGCCAATGGTTATTGTAAGCTCCTTTCCACTTTTCTTGAGAAGATCTTGTTTGAATTCTGCATTATAAGAATACAGGGGGAAATTGGCAAAAACATAGTTGGTTCTAAATAAATGCCGAGCATAGGTTTTGGCCTCGGAGGTCGTGAATCTGTCAAACATTTTGTTCATAGGCGTGTTGCATCGACATCTTCATATCATTTATATATCAAATTGTTAGTATCTCGAAAACTATTTAGGACAAAACAAAAAAGATTTTGAATACCAGTAACTATAAACGACAAGAATGTCGAACTAACCTACTACATCTAAAGGAAACTATCTTGCTTTTAATGTGAGAGCACCAAAGAGATAATAAAATTCTATGCACTAAAATGGCACCTTTTTGTTCAAAGGGATGAGCAATAAAGTGGTCTCAGATATTCGATTTTTGTTTCCTTTATATGATATTCTCTCAGTGGTAAGTCGAAGTTGTATTTTTATCCTTGATAGTGTATTGTATTATAACTGGTGCAGTAAAACTTGTACCGTATCGTATTATCGATCAGCGTAAACGTAGGTACAGTTTGCATAAATATACCAGATCAAACTGTTCTCGATATCATCTATAGTGATGTGTATGTTGGGGCTATGGTGATAAAAGCGTTGACTTTTTACACAGTCAAGTTTTAAGTTAAATTAGCTGACTTCTGCATTTAGTAAAAGGTAATTGTGAAGCGTCATCGAATCACAGTAGGATGTTATACACCATCGAAATGTAAGCCTAGGGGTTTGTGTCATCGATTTTTGTGTATCATACCTATCAGTGGTAGATACAGATTTTTCAAGAAGGGGAAGGTAGAGGGTCAATGGAAATTACGGGGTTCAATTTGATGTATATTTTACCTCTCATTTGAACTTTTGATTTAAGACTACAATGAGTAAAGAATAATTATCTGATCATCATATACACAAACAGAGATACCAGTAGTGAACTGATGCCACCCAAGCGGTCAGATCCATTAGTATTGTCATTTTGAAGATTTTGAAGGTACAAATCGGCAGCCATTTCAGCTTTACATGAATCAACTGCTACATTGAATCCCTGCATTTCCTTATTGTCCCACTGAATAGCCATTCGTTTGATCAGTTCGTATACGTCACCTTTCATGCATGGATGCTCTGCAAAAAGGACCTGAAGTGTCGCTTTGCATTCAGATAAACAATTACCGAACGGTTTACAATTTGTCATTACTTCATCCTTTACTCGCTTTGTTTCATTTACATTGACAAATATAAAATCAGACCATTTGCAATCGTTATGTTCTCGTGTAAGCCACAAATTACACATTGAGATATCTTTCCATGCTGTGCACGTAGCGAAAGGCATGTTTGCAGCAGGGTAAAAAGCCACGAATCCGAAACACATCTCGTCACTTGTAGCATCACCATAAAACGTGGTCTTTGGCCTTGAAAGGGATTTGAACTTGCATGTCGTTACAATTTCGTCTCCTGGTAGCACTTGAACTGCAGTTTTAAAATCAGTTGACATAAATTTTGTTACAGAAATCACAATTGCCAAATCAACAAAAACACGAATAAACACTACACTACTGCGTTTTGATTTTTACATTTTAAGTATAAATACTTTAATTTTCAAATCCGACCTAGAAGTGTAATGACTGACATTGCATTATAAGGGTCAATTCCATGAATGTGGCGTACAAAATTATAAGCTTGGTATCTTTGGTGAGTTCTTTTTTCATCATTACTACAAACATGAAAGAGGGTGATGTAGAAAATACGTCCATGAGACAACCCATCTACACAATAAACCAAAAGACGAATAGAGAGTATTATGCAGTCATTAGACAGATATAAACAAAATATGTCAAGCTGTAAAGCGAGTCCATTCGAGTTATATCATTTGTCAAGATAAGAATACACTATAAAAAATCCAAATTTCTTATGTGGTAGCGAATATGATGCCCTTTACTTTTCTACTGGTATCCAAACTCTAATAATTTTGGTCAAATACTAAAACATTGCCCATTCAGAAAATAAGTATATGGAGGAAAGTTTATTTTACGATAACATTGACCACTTTTAATTGTAACTTGATGAAGATGAATTTCATGTTAATTGTGACGTGAATACTTCACAAAGCACTGCTTCGTCCATTCATATTTGATACAAAACCTGTTCTATAACTTCTTTGTAGATAGATGGGCCAATTATGCACACTTAAAATGATTTGGTGAAAGTTGACATCGCGGAGATCTTTAATCAAAACATTTTAATTTGTGCTTGATAAATTATACCGGTATATCACTTTACTTCAATTTGAATTTTGGTTTTGTTTAAGAATGTTATTCGTATACATTTTTTGTACATATACTCTTCTGTTGCAATCTTCATCTTTCTATTTAACCACATTTAGTTCGCTCATATTGTTACAAATACGCCATAATATTGTAAGAACCTCAATATACACACATGACGCTGTGAAAGTGTGCAGTTAGGTCAAGATTTGATAGACTGTTTGAAAACAGCCTTCTTTAAAAATAATAAATCAAGGGAAATTTGTCTACTAGACCTAATTTGCATTTCATCTACAAGAATGCAAGTATTTAATCACTAGTAATTCAAACTATCAGAAACGAGATATCACGTGTTCAGCTTTTTTATATCATTCCATACGCTGAAAAATTCATAATATCGACAAGCAGAAAGCAGGTATCTAAAAAAAAAAGCATACGTTAAAACTCATCTTTACCAAGCTGTTGGTCAACTATTAATGCATTCTGTTTAGTAAACTGAATAAATGCGAGACGAAAATTTTAAGCTCCTTCAATTAATTAAAATCTTTATAGTGTCTGCAAACAGCAAGCAAGAGAGTTTCAGTCAGATCCGAAGTGCTCGCACAGTACAACTAATCAGTGTAAAGCTGCTGACCAAATATAGAGTTGTTCTGTTCTTTTGTTTTTGTGATACGTGTGCCAAAAATATTTGTTGGACGAACAGACGGACGGACGAATAGTCGGACAAGGCTATTGCATTATAGTCCTTACTTTACGAGTCGGGTATAATTGCTTGCAAATAAATTGTGAGAGTTTGTACTATCTATATATAAAGATAAAAAAAAGTAAAAAGCAAGATAAATAACGTAACTCACAACTCTGGTTTTTAGATTTATATAGCTCAATGAAACTTGATTTGTATACTCACTTGTTCTCTACAGGACTGTCATAGTTATAAATAGCATCATTTGTAAGTTCTGTATAAAACACACCGTCTCTGTATACCTGAATACTTATTTCATGTCCTGAAATTTTTTGACAACAAAATTATATTTATTCATCAAATCTAGCTTGTTACAAAACTCACCTAGAATCTAAGACTCTCCTGTTTACCACTATTGATTACTCAGGCAAAGACTTTTTATCTGTTTATGAATAATGCTAACACAATAAATTTAATCATTGCTTCTCCCTTATACTCATTTTATTTGCATTTACAGAAATTAAATTTCAGGAGGTCTCTTTCTCTCTCTCTTTGTATTAATTATCCTATTACCAGGAATGGAAACCAAACATTAACATAATATGCAACAGCGTTCAATAAGTAACTATGGTTTACAACTACCGACTCAAAACAAAACCCAAGGAAGGAGATTTGCTCCGTAAAAAAAAAAACTCTTCAGACAGAAAAATACAAAAACTTACTTTAATCCAATTTCAACGTAACTGAATTTATACCATGTTGTTTTATCATGTGATGTTGTCGTTTAGGTGTTGTGTTTGACGTTGCCATCAAAGCGGGAGGTTTGGCATGCCACAAAACCAGGTTCAACCCACCATTTTTTTCTTAAAATGTCCTGTACCAAGTCAGGAAAATGGCCATTGTTATATTATAGTTCGTTTCTGTGTGTGTTACATTTTTATGTTGTGTTTTAGTTGTGTCGTTATTCTCCTCTTATATTTAATGCGTTTCCCTCAGTTTTAGTTTGTAACCCGGTTTTGTTTTTATCTCTATCGATTTATGAGTTTTGAACAACGGTATACTACTGTTGCCTTTATTTATGCAATGACAGAAACTCAATCAAAATTTACCAACAACGTCCACTTCATAATGGTATTAGGTCTTGAGTGTTAGAGAGAGACAACATTATTATACTGATGTATAACTCCTAAATCAGTATATACGGTATATGCAAACACATGATAAACAAAACTGAGAAAAATTCACGACTCCAAACGGATCGAGACCAGGTGCGACCACATGGTGTATATTGCTATACATGAATATCACTCCTCATGCGAATCCACACTCAGTCAGATATCACCATCAGGAATAGTTCACACTCAGTCAGATATCACCATCAGGAATAGAACACAATCAGTACAATTTACAGAACAGATGACGTTTCTGGTATTAAAGATTTAAAACATGTCGCTTTTGAGTTGAGATATAAAAACATCGTATCGGTCAACGAATTCGTGATCTTAAAATATTTTTTTTATAGAGAACAAACTAATTGTAAACCACTTAATGATAAAACAATTACACATCACATCATCATAGTTTGATTACTGCCTTTTGAATCCGAATGAAAAGCAACCGTACAATCTAAATGCACATGGAATAATATTAATGAGTTCAAATGAAAAAAGTAAAATAACAAAAATACCGAGCTCCAAGGAAACAATAGAAACTACTTATGTTTCATCTCGATTGTTAAATGCTCAGTTTTAACCAGTTGTCAGCTTTATCATGTATATAACGTATACAACTATAAGTGATCAACTGATACAGCAGTGTGCAGAAGCTAAAACCTAATGACATTTAGAAAACACTTTCTCTAATTTTTGTGCTATTTTCACATTTCTTGATCGGTGTGAGAAAAATATTTCTCTTCACTAGTGAAATATCTGTTCTGGGCAAATGATTGGTCGAAATTTAATTATGAGGTCAAATTTCTTTGTTTCTTCTGAGTTTTCCTATTGTGGCGTCATGAAAAAAAGAGACCATACCTGATGACGTCACATATAAAGAACACAACTTTCTGAAATTCTTTGAAAATGAAGGATAAAAATCATTAGGGAAACAGATTTAACCACTATAACTCGTGTATTACGATATTTTTTCACTCTCAACAGTTAAATTTTAATTATTTAAAAAGCTCGGCAAGCCTCGCGCTTTTAACATTAAAATTTAACTATCTCGAGTGGAGAAATATTGTAACACACTTGTTGCAGTAATGGAATGTATATGTAATTTTAAAAGGAATATGTGCGTTAAAGGCTGTTATAAATAACTAAATGAATTGTTTTATAAATTTATATTGGTTAAAAAGGTTGTAGTTAATGTAATTTGTTTTAAAATTTTAAATAATAGGAAAATCAATAGGACTCTAGGGCTAACGTGATGAATAAATTATAGGAGTGATAAATATTAGAATGTGTGTGTTTAATAGACCACTTTTGAGTTTTGTCCTTCACTGGAAACGTTAGTCAATGATGATCACCTTTATAACATCATTTACTAGACAGAGGGGATCGCCTATATCCCTGCACTATTACAAGCGTCTTCGTAGTCGTCATTATACATCATAAACTAGAAATAATGTTTGTTCCGTAGGTACTTAATCACAATTCCCTAATGACAGCAGTGCTGATTATCAATTATAAGAATCTAAGTTGCCAAATAAGTTGTGCAATATAGCATCCTAATTTTTCAACCGCTTGCTCAACATGAAAAGGAAATGACAACGGACGAATGATGTTCACTTAAACCAAAGTTTTTGACGGAGATGCAACGAACTCGATGTGGTCTTTTAGTAATATGTCAAATGCCGTTATTTATAATTAAAGGAATCAACACAGCCTTGGTCTGTAATAACTACATTGATCCTTTATATTATGAATTTGCAAATTCGCATATTATTGACATCTATTTTTAGTACAGGCTTACTAAAATAAGACATAATTATTACCTAAATAGTGCATATGGTTTGTAGCCCAAAATATGTTAATTGGTGCATGTATTAATTTCCTTGAACATTCTGAATGGCATTTCCAAACTACTGTGTAACTCTGTTGTCCAGGTGGAATTTCAATATGTAACTGATCAGTCTGCATAATGGCAGCATCATTTGCTCGAAGTTTCGGAGTATAATAAAGAGTAACTCCCGATGAATCTTTCCAATCCGCTACTAACTGTGGATTGTTCCAGTGAAACTATGAATTGACAAAATTATCATTCTTAGGAAGAAAGATAAGAAGTAAGCAATATTATTTACCTTTACGTTCCGCTATATAGATGATGTTCTCTCCCTGAATAATACAAAATTTGGTGACTATGTTGAACGAATCTATCCCATCAAACTAGAGATAAAGGATACTACAGAAACAGTTAAGTCTGCCTCATATCTTGACTTACATCTAGAAATTGACAATGAGGGTCCGGTGAAAACAAAACTTTACGACAAAAGAGATGATATCAGCTTCCCTATTGTGAACTTTCCATTTCTATATAGCAACATTCCAGCAGCGCCTGCATACGGAGTATACATCTCCCAATTGATACGATATTCCCGGGCTTGTATTTCCTATCCTGATTTCCTTGATAGAGGATTGCTGCTCACAAGGAAGCTATTAAACCAAGAGTTTCAAATGGTGAAATTGAAATCATCCTTTCATAAATTTTACGGACGCCATCACGAGCTGGTTGACCGTTATGAAATAACCGTTTCACAGATGATATCGGATATGTTCCTTATGTCGTAACTACAATACCCTTTCCTTTTCACGAATGTGACCTACCGAATTAGACTATTTACCGGAATTGTAATAACATAAGCAACACGACGGGTGCCACATGTGGAGCAGGATCTGTTTACCCTTCCGGAGCACCTGAGATCACCCCCAGCTTTTGGTGGAGTTCGTGTTGCTTAGTCTTTTTTTTTCTATGTTGTGTCATCTGTACTATTATTTATCTGTTTGTCTTTTTATTTTTGGCCATGGCGTTGTCAGTTTGTTTTCGATCTATGAGTTTGACTGTCCTTCTGATATCTTTCGTCCCTCTTTTAAAACAAATAAATCTTTTTGATTAAAAATATTTTTTCTCTCGCTTTCTCTTCAACAGCAGTTATCATTTTTTTTTACAAAACTTAAACATAGTTTCTGAGATTTAACTTTTTCAGGTGTCCACTTCAGTTGACTGCCAAAAACTAAATCCTTTTATCAGCAAAATACGAGGAAAATATTTTAATTGAACATATTTCTTCAAATGCTTGTTTTTTTTATCATGAGGAAGCATTTGTTCAAGTTTCATAACATTTCATGGAGATTTGACAAAGTAAATTACCTCAGTAACTGCGAGTACTCTCTGATCTGTACTTAAGTGTCTTTTTGTTGTTTGGATGTACCTAGCCACCTCCACTCTGTGTTTTTGGTAGATGTATTTCTATTTGTATCCATCTGATGAGTTAACCCTTTTTCAACTGATTTTTATAGTTTGTTTTTATGTTGTACTGTTACACCACTGTCCCAGGTGGGGGGGGGGGGGGGGGGGGGGGCGCCCACTAACATGTTTAACCCCGCCACATTCTGTATGTGCCTATCATAGTCGGGAGCCTGTAATTCAGTGGTTGTCGTTTGTTGCTGTGTAACATATTTGTTTTTCGATCATTATTTTGTACACAAATAAGGGCATTAGTTATCCTTTTTTGAACTGTTTTACATTCGTCAATTTGGGGCCTTTTATAGCTGACTATGCGGTATGGGTTTTTCTCATTGTTGAAGGTTACGGCGACCTATCATTGTTAATTTCTGTGTCATTTGGTCTCTTGTGAAGAGTTGTCTCATTGGCAATCATACCGCATCTTATTTTTTTTTTTATATCAACTCTTTTTAAGCTGAATAATTTAAAAAAAAAAAAACAAATGATAAACTGACACACTACGATCACTGTACTGACGAAATATAACTTCGATTTCATTGTGACATTATCCTGTTATGATTGTTATAACTAAGTAAAACGTGTCATTAAACAAATAGTTAATGATAGTGTGAAACGAAATTACTGAAAAATACATTTGACTAACATCGTTAGGACGACGATGCTGATCATATCATCACGTCGATGTGAAGTCAAATGTTTTTTTAGATATTGTTCATATTAAATTTCAAAATGAAATGAATTATGTGGTTTTTCCCCATTTATATTTATAACTTTTGAAGGCCTAATGCAAACATGTTAGCTTCAGAAGAATGTTATAAGACATCTTTATAAAACTTCGTGATCTACAAAATCAGAGGAA